TAGAAAACGAGAGGGAGGAAGAGGAGAGGAGAGGTGGGGGAGAGGAGCAGGAGGGGAGGGAAGGGGAAGGGAGGGAGGGGAGAGCAGACCAGAGCAGACCAGAGAAAAGAGGCAAGGATACAAAAAGAGGAGAGGAGAGAAAAGAGGAGAGGAGAGAAAGAGGAGAGGAGAGGGGAGGGGAGGAGAGGAGAGGAGAGGAGAGGAGAGGAGAGGAGAGGAGAGGAGAGGAGAGGAGAGGAGAGGAGAGGAGAGGAGAGGAGAGGAGAGGAAAGGAGAGAATTGAGGATAAAGACGGGCGAAGCACAGCACAAAAGAGGATGGAACTATTCTGAGTGTACCGACAGCAGTGTAGACTATGGAGGCGCTTTCGTCTGGCTGATTTCGCTCTGCGAAGTTGTGAGGAAAAGAAAACGATAGAGAGGAGGGGAGGAGAGATGAGATGAGAGATGAGAGATGAGAGATGAGAGGAGGAATGGGCGAGGAGGAAGAAGTAGGAATTGGAACAGGACGAGGAACGAGGAAGAGAGGGAGACAAGAAGTGCGATAAGAAACGAGACTGCAGAAGGAAGAGGAGGAGGAGGAGTAGAACGATGATACCTGACAGAAGAGCTTTGATATGAACATTTAAACCCCCCCATCCTAACCCCAGATGTTTGGTCAGCCACACCTCTAATTCCAACACTGTCTCCTCCTCCGCCACCATCTCTACCTCCACCTCCTCCCCTTCCTCCCTCGACCACGAGCTCGTTCTTGTCTCCGTCCTTGTCCTCGTGCTTGTGCTCGTCCTCGTTCTTACCCATGTTTTCCTTACGTCTCATCGTACGCTACTAGTAGCATCTCCTACCCTTCCTCTACCTCTAGACTCCTTCTCCCTCCCTTTTGTCTTTCTTTGCTCTTACCTAAAGTCCCTATGACGGTGGAAAACACCAGAGCCCAGCACTGGATATGTACTCAACAATTGAATGTAGCTCGCACACTCTCATCATCATCATCATCATCATCATCATCATCATCTCCATCATCATCATCATCATCTCCATCATCGTAACGTCATCTCTATCTCCATCATTGTTATCGTCGTCGTCGTCGTCATCATCATCATCATCATCATCATCATCGTCATCATCATCACACCTGCCATGTTCGTATTGCTTCTTCGAATGTGTAATTTTGCTCATCTTGCTCCGGATCTAACCAGCTGCCACCTAACGACGACGATGATGCTGCCGTCGGTTTTTCCTGAAAACTCTCCATCAGCTTTCTCTTCTCGTCCTCGCCCTCGCCCTTGCCCTTTCCCTTGTCCTTGTCCTTGTTCTCGTTCTCGTTCTCCTCCTCGCCCTCGTCCTCTCCCTTGTCCTCGTTCTCCTCCTCGTTCTCTCCCTCGTCCTCGCCCTCGTCCTCGTCCTCGCCCTCATCCTTGTTGCCCTTTCCCTTTCCTCTCCTTTCTCCCTCCTCTCTCTCACCGTCGTCACGCCATCTGCTCGCTGTCCAACATGGTCCGGCCTCTCGACCAGGAAAAAGAGCGAAAATTGCAGGATAGCGAGGACAATCACCCCTGGTAAGAGGTCAGAAGGAGGCGCCCCCCCCCCCTCTCCCTCCTCCTCCTCCTCTTCCTCCTCCTCCTTCTCCTGATCCTGCTCTTGCTCCTGGTCCCCCTGGTCCTCCTCTCACTCCTCCTGATCCTGATCGTGATCCTGCTCCTGGTCCTCCTGGTCCTTCTGGTCCTCCTGGTCGTCCTCCTCTCACTCCCCTGATCCTGATCGTGATCCTGCTCTTGATCCTCCTGGTCCTTCTGGTCCTCCTGGTTGCGTCCTCTTCCTCCTGATCGTGATCGTGCTCCTCCTGCTCCTGCTCCTGCTCCTCCTCCTCCTCCTCCTCCTCCTCCTCCTCCTCCTCCTCTTCCTCCTCTTCCTCCTTCTCGATCACCTTCCATTCTTGTCGCTGCTCGCCAACCGTAGGCCGACATGAGCTGATCAAAGGCTGCAGCACAAAGAAGTTGAATCCCCAAAACAATCTGCAAGATCAGCAGGAGTGAGACATTCTTCTTCCTTGTTCTCTTCCTTGTCATTCTTCTTCCTTGTTCTCTTCCTTGTCATTCTTCTTCCTTGTTCTCTTCCTTGTCATTCTTCTTCCTTGTTCTCTTCCTTGTCATTCTTCTTCCTTGTTCTCTTCCTTGTCATTCTTCTTCCTTGTTCTCTTCCTTGTCATTCTTCTTCCTTGTTCTCTTCCTTGTCATTCTTCTTCCTTGTTCTCTTCCTTGTCATTCTTCTTCTTTGTTCTCTTCCTTGTCATTCTTCTTCTTTGTTCTCTTCCTTGTCATTCTCTCTCTTATCAGGAGTGAGACATTCTTCTTCCTTGTTCTCTTCCTTGTCATTCTCTCTCTTATCAGGAGTGAGACATTCTTCTTTCTTGTTCTCTTCCTTGTCATTCTCTCTCTTATCAGGAGTGAGACATTCTTCTTCCTTGTTCTCTTCCTTGTCATTCTCTCTCTTATCAGGAGTGAGACATTCTTCTTTCTTGTTCGCTTCCTTGTTATTCTCTCTCTTATCAGGAGTGAGACATTCTTCTTCCTTGTTCTCTTCCTTGTCATTCTCTCTCTTATCAGGAGTGAGACATTCTTCTTTCTTGTTCTCTCCCTTGTCATTCTCTCTCTTATCATTGTTTTCAGACAATCCCAAGAGCATAATCTGCTGCTGCTGCTGCTGCTGCTGCTGCTGCTGCTGCTGCTGCTGCTGCTGCTGCTGCTGCTCCTGCTGCTCCTGCTGCTCCTGCCCATCCACCGCCTGCTCTCTGCCTCTATCTCCCATCTCTGCCCTCCACCACCATGATTTCATTGTCTTCTCCCTCCCTCCTCACTTTGCTTCTCCTCCCATTTTTCCCAACCATCTCCTCCTCCTCCTCCTCCTCCTCCTCCTCGTTTTTCCTCTTTGTCACCTGCAGTCCGGCCATGGCGCGTCCTCGCCACCTGTGGAACCATCGGTTGACGGTGAAGATGGCGCAGAAGCCCATGGTCTCAGGTCCGAACATGCGCAGGCAGAAGTAGCAGAGGATGAAGAGGAAGCGGTTGCTGGTGTAGGCTGAGGCAGGTAAGAGATTCTGATACGATTGAGCACGGGGAGAAGAATCAAGGGAGAAGGAGGAGGAAGATGAGGAAGAAGAAGAGAAGAATAGAAACGGCAGAAGCATAGAAAGATGAAGTCTAGTTGCATCAACACGCGCAGGAGGAGGAGGAGGAGAAGGAGGAGGACGAGGAGGAGGACGAGGAGGAGGATCAGAAGAAGGAGGAGGAGGAGGTGGAGGTAGACCAGGAGGAGGAGGAGGAAGCAGGAGGAGCAGGAAGAGCATCTTACAGAGGAGGAAGATGGCGGAAAGGAAGATGAGCTGTCCTGCACAGACCGTCCTCCAGGGGCCGAAC